TGTCAAAACGGCTACCTATCGTGCAAAGTAAATAAACATTACGATGCTATGAAAGGTCCACGAAAGGTATTGCAATAAAATATAAAATATAATCGAAGAAATGAGCATAAATACGCAGTGAACGTTAAATTGCCATGGGATACGCTCGGTAATGATTAGTAATGAGAATTTCTACTATTTTTTGTTAAGATAATTTGACAAAATCACTGATATCATGATTTACTACAGCCGCAATATTTTTTCTCTCGCTAGAAGTCATTTGAAGTTGTTGTAGAAGTCCTCTGTTGCCAAGTGAAAAGAATGGGAATCTTTTGAAAACCGTGATGCGAGTTCAACTGTTTTTCTCTTGGCGTGACTCATTATATCACCGACTCCCTACACTCATAATAATCCACACATTTTTATTGGCGAATATCCATGTAAAATTCCACATGATTTTCATGTGTCCACACATAAACAGAATCCACTCAGAACTACACATGAAATTTATGAGTCAAATGAATAGTATGTGTGGCTACACATGAATTTTATGAGTACCCATAAAAACTATGTGTCGGACAAATATATATCATATGTTTATCACATTGCAAAAATTCATGTGTGGGACACATAAAATTAATCATTGAATTTTTATTAGTGTAGTAAGCCAAGCCAATGCATTTGTTTTCAATATGTCAATCACGTAAGAAACCACATCTAGGGTACAGAAAAGGTGTTGCGTTCTAACTTGAATGTGTTCCTCGTGACTCCGGTGAAAGCAGACTTTGTTTTGCAGAAGATTCCGACCAATAGAGAGACATTGCAGATGTTTTTCTTTTGCCGACTTGTTGACAAGATTTCCATTAAAGAAAGTCTCACAACAACGACCAAAAAAGTCGGAAACCTGCTAGTGGATAACCTAAAGCGAAGTGATGTTATTAAAAAGAAGATTAGTCAACTTTTTGTGGCGTGGTGATGTATGTAGTTGCATATAAGTATTGTGAAATATATTATATAATAAATGATTTATTTGTATTTTTTTTTTTTTTATTTAGGAGATTTTCAGCCGTAGGCTGGTTCATCTCCGCTTTATTTGTAGATCTACAATCAATTAAAAACGGAATAATGAGCGTGACATCTACCGGCGATTGCAATTCATTCGTAAATTATCGGGACAATTTAACTGTAATTTGATTCCTCAAGCAGAGATGGTATTTTAATCATTCTTACCGTTAAACTAAATTGGCAGTACATTATGTTCTGACAGAAAAATACATTCATTGACTTTAGGGCGTTGATGATGCAAGCATCAGCGGTAAAACGGAAGAAGATATACTGCTCCATAATTTTACATCGGCTGCTCAATATCTTCGAGCATTCCTCCAAACAACAAGGCTAGTCCAGTGTGAGCCAATTTAAAATCGTTGTTGGTAAATACTCTAAGGTACACTGGTAGTTACTGAGCTGTTCCAGATTTCCCAAGAAAATAAGGAACCGTTGATTGACGTGGCAGAATCAAGATTGGAACCAAGAGTGTCATCACAAGCTGTGCAAGTAGGGAGAAGAATAAGTTCTTGGCTATGTCCATACTGGTCAACGATGTCGGGACTACGCTGCACATTTGCCTGTGGAACTACGACGATGAACCGAACCTTTTACAGTAGAAAATTGTACTGATTGCAATTGCCACTTCGGTTTGATCGTGACGCTTTTCGAGGGACATACATCGAAAAACGGGGTTCCTTCAGACTGATAAAGTATTTTAATTAGCATTCAGCTAATAGTCGATGTTTTCATTTGATCATAAATTCCCCAATTTTAGGAATTGGAACCACCAACGACAAGGTGCTGGTGATTGAGGATTTCAAAAACACTAGCATCGTTACCATTCTGATCCGTACTGGCAACACAATTGTTCCAGAACGCGACACGTAAAAGAAATTGATTGGTTGGTTGTTTTTATTTTGAAAGTTTAAACAATCGCCTCCCTTGCAGAGAAATCCTGAAGTGGACATTCAATAAAAATGTGATATGTTATTTATTTCAAAGTACTTTTCTCCGAACGTAAACGATTCATCGTGTTGATTAGTTTAAAAGCAATACTTATTTGTTCACATGTCATGAAGACAAAAATTGCCTTAACTCCATTTTGTAAACAAATCTTGTAAGACCATTTTCTCGCGAACCGAAACCTACATTCGCAAACCTAACACACAATCGGGAATTTCCCCTACCTGTTCATTTTGTCGGTTTGCGTTGGCGGATTTTGGTTCGCGAGAAAATGGCCTTACAAAATGGAGTTAAAGCCATTCCAATTGTTGGTTTTGAATTGTTTAGCAGAAAGAGAATTGACGATTCCAAATCCGAGGAAATGTAGTTCATCTTTGCAACCTGTTTACTATGTACCGCCATAAATCTACGCAGCACCTAATTCCGCGTATTTCGCCAAAATTTTGTAGTATTTTACAGTTTTATCAGAATTTATGTTTTTCCCAGACACAAGTGGTGAATACCTACCATCATGTACAATTCCATCGAATGATGTATAATTTCTAATTATTTTAGACATTTTGAAAACAGTGCGGAATTAGGCCATAGGGTCACAGAATTATGACACATTACGATAAATGCAAGAATGGTAACTGCAAAAAAAAATAATACTTCATCATTTCTCAATATTGATGGAGTAATATGACATGCACTAAACTAAGGACACAGTCATGATATATTACAATAGATCAAATTACTGGTCGCAGTGGTGTTAAGTCCCGAACAGAGGAAAAAAGATTTTTGTTTACTTGACAACTGTAAACAATAAGTTGCTGGCTGATCAATTTTTAGGTCTGAAGAAAGACATTTTTATAAAAAATCAAAAAGACCCTTCAGTTAGCGAACGTTTAATGTAATATAATTTCTTATCAAATAATTTTGAATTTATCAATCAGAAAAAGCGTTCAATTTCCCCCCTCATCATGGTATCACCACAGACAAACAGACGTAACTCATTGAATATTTCTCACTGTAAAACATCGTCGCTAAAACATTACCGCCATCTGTTGAGTACACTGTGGTGGGTAGTACGCTGAACAGACGGCGGTAGTGTGTAAACGTCAAACGCAAGGGAATTTACTATGCGCGCCACAGGTGGTGGTACTACCAACTATGATACTTTTAAATTGACCGTTAAATGCTTGTTCGATCAACAACTTGCGAGTGTTATGTCTGTTTGTCTGTGGTATCACACTTGATAGTTCTTTCAAGAATAAGAACATCAAATAGAAAAGAAACTTTCAAGGAAGCTAATTTATTGAAAATATTTACCTACCTATGTCATTATTCCCGTTTTCGAATGAATCGGATACGTCACACATTTTTTTTTTTTTTTTTGTTTGTCGAAAACAAGGATAAGGACCGATTTTTTCATTCCTCACTCACTCACTCGAAATTAGGAAAAAATTTACACTGTGTTTCCAGGTCAAAATTGCACTAGGAAGGTTAACCTGGGCCCAGGTCAGATTCCTGTCGACTTCTTTTATTTCCTTGTTGAGGCTCCACTGCCATCAGCCTCTGGGTCTGCCTCTGCTGGGATGTCCTGCCAGGATCCAATCCTGCGCTTGATGGATTACCAGGTTTACCCATAAGGAGTGTTCACTATATAAAACCGATACACACTTTCAATTGCAACTTTTGACAATCCATAAGTTAAGCATTGCATAATTTTGTTTGGATCATAATCTTTACATATCTATATAATAAACAATACGGATACAACGCTCGGCATTTCTGATCAAAATGACGTTTGAGACAAAGTTGTAGAGAAAGATAATGTCTGCTCTAATGGAAAAAAATGAACAAAAATGTTTTTTCAAGAAAAAAAAATTTAAACAAACAATTTAAACGCCCAAATAACTCAAAATGTCCTTGTAAGATTTTGAAAAAAAAAGCTTATGAAAAATGCAATTTGGAATATTCAAAACTATGGAAACTTGAAAACTGGCAAAAATCGTAGAACAAGAACTGTTGGTAAATGTTTTTAAACTTTTTGTCAGTACGCTTTTTTGTGTGTATTTTATCACAGAAAATGAGGGAAAAAATCTCAAATATTGTTTTATGAGTGTGAATTACATACAAAAACGATTGAACCGAAAGTTCAAAAATTTGACCAGAAGTCTTGCCAAAAGTTCATGTTTAATGATTTTTGTCAATTTTTAGGTGTCCATACTTTTAAACATTCCAAAAGTTTGCATTTCTATAAGCTACTCATCTTAATGAAAATTTCAAAAAATTTTCCGATTCGTCATTTGGCGTAGAACTGCTCTATAATTAAATCTGATTTAAGACTCAAGCGCAGTTGAAGAAATTGGCCCTGCGAGAGAAAAATTGGAAAACTTAGCTCATACTTATTTATAAGTTTTATAAGCTGGTACTTACTAGGTACACTAAATGAAAGGAATTTTTTTGTAGAAATCACAGCTGTCTGTAGCCTTTTTCTTTTTAAACTTTTCAAAAATAAGCCGAATGCTGAACATTTTTTTTTACAATAGTCAGCATGTGGCCACGTATTAGTTAGAATTTTCAAAATAGTCCCTTTCAGTTAGCGGACGTTTAGTGCATACTTACCACTTCACCAAAGCAAGCACCAAGCAGTAAATCCTGTAAGAGGAAGGCTTGTCAGATAACCATACCTATAATTCAATTTTGATGGTTTTTGGAACTGCACTTCAGTGTAATGGTCTAAATGAAGATGTGCAAGAATGAATATAATATGTGGAGCGCTTCGCATGACTACCCGTTGTCTAAGTAGTATCTTCAATTGCAGAATGCTTCCTTACACGAGCAGCTTTCCATAGGACTTCCCGCTCTTGAAACTCATTCAAGATTGAGATTCTAGAATGCAAGACTGTAATCAAACAATTTCGACATCCGGAACTTGATATGCTGACATCTCACCTAAATAAAAGATTAAAAATGGATAAATGTGATATCGAGGTCTCCAACGCCCAAAATGAAACCCCACCAGCTTTGCTTCACAAAAAGAAGTCATCGCCCAACCGCACCCAAAACCATGAAAGCGGAGTGCAATGCTTTTTGCATGGTTTATTGAATCCATTAGCATACATACCAATCCTCAGCAGATCCGTAAAATTAAAACAATAATTGAATCCTAAACCTAACGCCGTCTACTTCTTGGCAAACGATATCTTCATCGCATGCGTCGGAGTAATCTTGAAGCCTTGCAGCGCCTCCCGAGCGGCACCGCTCTGCAGTTCCGTGGCAAATTCCACGAAAGCAATATCGTGTCGGTTGGGAACCAGACGCACTTCCTTGAAGCCCGGGAACTGGTTGAACAACATGGACAGCATCATCTCGTTGGTCTCCTCCGGCAGGTTGGTCAAGAAGAGGATTTGATTCGGTGGCTGTTCCGCAGTGGCAGAATTGCTTGCCGTCGTACCGGCATCGGCATTCTTCTGCTTCTTGGACTTTTTGTCCTCCTGCTGAACCGGCTTGGGTACTTTGGCCTTCTTCGGACGTTCCTTGAAGGTGCCCTTCATCTTGGCTATCACGTCGCTGTCGGTTTTGGAATAGTTGATGCGCATCGGTTTGTCGTAGAACGGGAATCCCTGCATGGTTCGCATGGCGTTGGTGGCACTGCCAATTTCCTTAAAGATGATAAACGCTTGCCCTCGCATTTTCAGCGTCTTCAGCGCCACTATGTCCAAGATTTGTCCGAACTGCGAGAAGATCGCATACAGAGACTTCTTCAGCTCTTCCTTCTTGATTTTCTCGTTCAGGTTGTTGATGTAGATGGTGTGACTCGGCCGGATGTCCATTTTGGTGCGGAGAGGTGCAGATTTTACAAAAATTTACTAAATTTTACGGCAAATTACTCCACGATATGATTGAAAATGGGTTTCTCACTGCGAATATGTCAAATGGCGTACATGCGATGGCGATTCTACACAAAAAGTCTACACAAACGATGCCGGGTACTGTCAGAGGAAGTGTAGCACGAAACCTCGCACGAAACGCACGAAACTTAAGAGGCACACGGACGATGAGTTCAACTCAAAGTTAAGTTGAATTTAGCAAAAAGTGTCTTCCATAATAACTATACCCGAATAATAGCTCAAAATGATAGAATTAATCTAAAAATGGTTCGAATGATACGCTGAATACGTCCTTGAGTAAAATAACCATACACATTTTATTAGAGTTTGCTCTCAAAGTGAGTAAAATTTTCGAGCTTTTCCAGGAACCATAAGTCGAAACGACAAACTTGTTCAAACAAGCGTTCATACAAAAAATGCTTCTAGGGGCATCCCACTCTAAACTTCATACCTAATATCAATAAAATATTTGTAAATCCCGCGTAAGTATTCTTAAGTATGTTTAAGTATTTTCCATCGAAGTAATACTTATTTTTAAATGACCGGTTGCTAGTGCATGTGTTTGTTGTTGACTTGTTGTCGGTCGTCTTGTATTTATAAAAATAGGAGTGTTAAGTATTTTTATTATGAGTATAAATTAGTATTATTTAATTTATATTTTTCAGCGATTCAGCATGTAAAAAAGCTTCAAGGGCTGGTTACAAAGAATGATGTTTTCAGTACAAGTTTAACCTAGGGGTATCCCACTCTAAACTTTAGTACTAGTATACATTAAATACGTTTAAATCTCTCATAGGTATCCTTAAATATTTTTAAGTATTTTAAACTTGCATAATTTCCATCGTAGTTACCGGTTGCTAGTGTCGTTGGTTGTTGTTGTAAGCCCCGTCAATAGTTTTCGTCACTTATGAAATGAAATTAATTCCTGTTTTAATCTATTTTAATTGCAATAAAATCATGATAATTGGTATATGTATTTCAATTATGCTTATCTAATAGTGTAAAAAAATCGTGTTATTCAAATTACTGATGCTTTAGAGTAGAGAGGTTCTAGAACCTCTCTAGTTTCGAGCAGACTTTCCAGTGCGCTATCATGAATTTGGACTCCTTTACAGAGCTGTTCCAGATTCCTAAGAAAATAAGGAACAAGGAATAAGGTATGGAGAAGAAAAAAAATCTTGGCTATACCTATACAAGTCAACGATATCAGGGTTACGCTGCGCATTTCCTGTCGAACTACGACGATGAAACGAACCTTTTACAGTAGGAAATTGTGGTGATTGCATTACGCTTTTCGGGTTGGAAAACAGTGTTACTTTAGACTGGTGAAGTAGTTTAATTGACATTTTGCAGTCGATGTTTTCATTTGAACATAAATTTCCCAGTTTAAGTAATTGGAACCACCAGCCACAAGGTGCTGGTGATTGAGGATTTCAAAAACACTAGCATCGCTATCATTCTGATCCGTAGTGGCAAATAGATTATCCCGGTTGAATCGAAGCGGTAGTTAAAAATGAAAGGTACATTGGGGTAAATGAAAAGTGGTGGGACAAGTGTATAAATGCCCAACCCATTACGAAACAAAGGATATTAAAAAAAATCCAGTTTAATAAATTTTTGTGGGTAGACAACAATTACCCACTTGCGCCACCAATTTATAACTTATACTGTTCGATCTTTCCAGAACGTGACATGTTAAAGAAGTTGATTGGTTTGTTGTTTTTATTCAAAAGTTTGAATAATCGATACTTATTTATTCACATGTCATGTGTTGAAATAAATTGATTAAATTTAAGTTTTACAATCGTTGCTGTTAGTTAATAGAATTAATGAAAAAATTAATTCTACTTCAACATATAGCAGATATGGCTTATCAATCATGTCCAGCTCTAATAATGGTTTAACAGATAAGAATTGACGGTTCCAAATCCGAGGAAATGTAGTTCATATTTACAACATGTTTACTATGTGCGCCATAATTCTGCGCAGCACCTAATTCTGCGCATTTCGCCAAAATGATGCAGTGTTTTACATTTTTATCTTAATTTATATTTTTACTATGCACAAGTGGCTAATACCTACACAGCAAAAAAAAATGTAATATCGATCAACGTAATTCAAGCTGATGAATGAAATAATGATGTAATATCAAAAAGCAGATACAATATTACATCAATGGATGTAATTTTGTTCGCAAAATCGATGTACATCGTACAATGTGATATTACACAACCGATGGATTGACCTGGTTGCAGCAGTTTCGATGTAATATTCAACAACTTTTTTTGCTGTGTACCATCATGTTCAATTCAATTCAAATTATATACAATTTCAAATTATCTTTGAAATTTTCAAAACAGGCACTTTACGGCAGAATAAACACGTTCGTTGGGAAGCTACAAGATGAAACAGATGCCACAAGCTCGACAACAAGTACAATGCGAATGGTTTGGAAAACCTTCACAACTTCTTGTTCAGATTCGATAGCCCTAAGAGTCTTAAGTTAGTGTTACATGGCCTAATTATAACGGTCGAAAAGTACTTAATCTTATAACGCAACGATCGATAAAACCAAACAAACAACGAAGGGAAAGGTTCCATGATTGTCAATCTGACTTCTTCCTGTAACATGTCGAACGAATCATCCTAAATGCGCATCAAAGTGTGACATAATTAATAGTGCAGGTATAATGCGAAAATGATGGAATCGGTTTCTAGATTGGACAAATAATCAGCGGCTGTTTTTTCCACCGTTGACGACATTAATTTATAGGTGAATCATTTTGCAAAGATCTTCTCTTATTCCAAGACCATATCTTGATACCTACAAAACAAAAAGAAACATTTAAAATAGCTGTTAAAGCTTAAAATATTAATACTGCAGTTTTCAAATATTCACACAAAATCCTTGACGACATCTGATAAATAAACAAATAAAATGTGTTTAGCAACGGTGGTAACAACCTAATGCAAAATATAGGTTAAGTATTTTTAAGTATTTCCAGGTATCTTAGGTATTTGTAAAACTTTCTGAAAGAAATATAAAGTTTAGAGTGGGATGCCCCTAGAGTTTAACGGTGTTTACCGATCGACTGAACTCAAAGTGTGTATTGGCTCTCATATACCCTCTCGGTGCACAAAGATCCTGCGATGATGAGTATTGGTATATTCAGATATGAGCGTGCATTAGCTGACCGGAGCAAAATTTGCGATGGCATGAGAGAGACAACTAGTACTTTTCTCTGTCTCTCTCCGTCTCGTACCTTCGCAAAATCTCGCCTTGCGCGTGAAACATCGCTCAGGACGGAATTCACCTTATTTCTAAACATTTTAATTACCGTTGACCTACCTAGCAGCGAATCATCTGACTACGATTTTGTTTTTGCAGTATCGAGGATCTGAAGTCGTGAAAACGTGTTGCAGACCTGAGCAAATTTTTTTTAATTTTTTTTTTAAAGGAAACTAAATCCGTTCATTTGAATAATGCTGACTATGTTGCTTATACTGTGTCCAATGGCCCTTATGGTTTATTATCTACTGTAATAAGCATGTTTTGCGTTTAGAAGGTGGAAAGCTAAGAGATCTGCGTTTCCGCAATACCCCCATATTCTCGTTTAAAATACTACCCAGACGTAAACGAGAATATGGGTGATAGTATGGTCACATGGTTTCGTACATCCAATTATGTTCTTATCAGGCATTGTCATAGTTACACAGCCAAAAACCGAGCGGAAAAAGAACAACACAAAATTCACTATTAGATTGTTTATACAAATGATGGAACTCGAACGAGTAACAACAAAAGGTTCCAATTACTTACTTAAGTGTCCTGAGCGCCATCCCTGGCGCAAAGGGCCAACGTGAAAGATCTCCATCCTGGGCGATTGTTTGCTTTCGCCTTGACCTGGGCCCAGGTCAAATTCCGGTCGACTTGCTTAATCTCCTTGTTTAGGCTTCGCCGCCATGAGCCCCTGGGTCTGCCTCTGCTGCGATGTCCGGCTGGATTCCAATCCAGCGCTTGTTTGCAGATTTCATTTCCGCTCTTCCGTAGAGTGTGGCCAACCCACCTCCACTTACGTTCCCGAATTTCTGTCGATATCGGCTTCTGGTGACACCGTCGATGGAGCTCGGCATTCGAAATCCAGTTGTGAGGCCACCAAGCACGAATTATATACCGCAGGCATCGGTTGATGAACACCTGCAGCTTCTGTGTGATCTCCGCTGATACGCACCATGTTTCGCTAGCGTACAGCAGTACAGATTTCACGTTAGAGTTGAAAATTCGGATCTTCGTGCGGAGACTAATCTGATTTGACTTCCAGATGTTTCGTAAACTCGCAAAAGCAGCCCTTGCCTTCTTGATCCGTGCACCTATGTCACTCTTGGTTCCGCCGTCCGACGCTATCTGGCTGCCAAGATATTGGAAACTTTCAACCTTCTCCACTTCCTGACCAGCTACCGTAAAATTGGATGGATTTCCCGTGTTGATATCCAACGATTTAGTCTTGCTGACGTTGATGTTGAGACCTGCCGCTGAGGAGCGTTCGGCGAGATCGTCGAGCTTACTCTGCATGTCAGAACGCCGTTGTGATACTAAAGCAACGTCATCCGCCAAATCTAGGTCGTTTAGATGCTCCATTGTAATAGGCTGCCAGAGCAACCCACGGTTCGGCACACGGTCGATCGCACCAACCATTATCTCGTCGATTACGATGAGGAACAGTAGCGGTGATAGAATACATCCTTGCCTCACTCCAGCGACTACCCGAATGGGGTCAGATAGGGCTCCGTTGTGCAGCACCCTGCACGTGAAAGCCTCATACTGAGCTTCGATGAGGTTGACGATTTTATCCGGAACTCCCTTGCGCCTTAGGGCGCCCCACAGGTTTTCGTGGTTGAGTCGGTCGAAAGCTTTTTCGTAGTCAATGAAAACCAAGTAAAGGGACTCTTGGAATTCGTTGACCTGCTCCAAGATTATGCGGAGCGAGACAATATGGTCCACACAGG